AAAGTATCTGTTTCTCACTTAGCACAGCTTAAAAACATTTGATTTCACTGGATTATTGTGCAGTTATGTTCCCTGACTCCAGTGTTATGTTCTGCCACTCCAGTGAGTTTAGTACCTTCTTTAATTTCTGCATGTTAAAATGCATCAGAGGGAAAAATAACACACAAAATGTTGTACTTTGTTGTATTTTTTTTCTCCAGTATGTTAAACTCAGCAGATAAACAGTAATTGTGCAATAAAATGTGCAGAAAAATGACTGGGGGTGTTCAAACTTCTGCACATGAATGTATTTTACATATAAAGCTTTAGGTTTGACTGATTGATTGGTTTGTTTGTTTGTCTGTATAAAAACGCGGCTGACCCCTGGAATAACGTGACTGCTTGCGTTTGCACCCGCAGAAAGATCTCCCCTCTGAGGAGATAAAGACGGGAGAGGAGGAGGACGAGAACGGAGACAACCTGCTGAAAGCCAGTAACGACAGTAAGTCCTCAGAAACGACTCGCTGAAGACGAGGGCTGAGAAAATACACCCAGCGAGAGGAGGGGAGGTTCAGCTGCTTTCAGCTTCGAACTTTCAGAATTGAGAAAATAAAAGTGATTAAATAAAAGAATTGCGCAATTTTGGGCAATTTTCAGTCACAATTATCCTAAAAAACAAGCTTCGGGTGTTTATTTATATATTTATTTGTTATTACAGTAATTATTTATTGGTATATATCTCCATTTTTGTGTGTTTCAGTTTTTGACATAATGTGAAAATACCTGTTGTCCTTTACGTTGTGTGTATATTTTATGATGAAATGTCCAAAAGAAACGGCCCAAAATTATTTGGAAAAAAGTCTGGTTCCATTGACTTACATTAAAAGTAAAGTAGTTTTTTCCTTCTCCTGTAAAGTTACCATTTTGGAGATATGAGGTTTTGTTCTGACAGCGATTTGTTTAGCACCTTTCATACATGCAACACAGCTCGAAGTGCTTCACAGACAAAAAGAGACTATAAAAATGAATAAAAAACAAAATCATTCAAAAACATAAAAGCAGCAAAAATATGGTGACAAAACATCAGAAACAAGAAACAATAAAATAGCCAAAAAATAAGTGACAGAATAATAGTAATAAATGTAAAAATCAGCTAAATATGTGTTTGTTTGTTTGTAAGAATTGAATCCGTCACAGTCATATCACTGCTGTCGGAACAAAACCTCATATCTCCAAAATGGTCACTTTACAGGAGAAAGAAAAAACCTACTTTACTGTTAATGTAAGTCAATGGAACCAGACTTTTTCCAAGTCATTTTGGGTCGTTTATTTTGCTCTATTCATCATGAGATTTAAACACAATGTAAAGAGCAACAGGCATTTTCAAATTGTCAAAAAACTGAAAAAACACAAAAATGGCCATACAAGATTTTTGTTCCAACAGCAGCGACATATTTAGTGTATTATCAAAAATAATTCAGCATGACGTGACTTTTCCAGCCAACGATTAAAGACCATGTTGAACGTCTGAGTGAACTTCATCTCAGCCTGATTTATTTGGGTTCTACATCCCTGAACGTCCTAGAAAGCTGCTTTGTGAGAACATCCACTGTAAAAAGGTGCTGGAAAAGTAAACCTGAACTGAATTTTCAATTAAAATGGCCAAATTTCAGGATTTTTTCCAGCCAGTCATCCAAAAACCTGAATGCGTTAAATGAAGCGCCTCGTCTCGAGCCTTTTCCCTTCCTGCGCTGACTCCGTTCCTCTCGCTCCTCTCTCAGGTCCGAGCATTCAGAGCAAGCTGGTGACCAACAGTCAGATGGACGAGATTGCGGCGAAGCTGGGCGGCCAGTGGAGGGCGCTGGCAGATCATCTGGAGATGAAGCCGGCGGAGATCCGGGAGATCGAGTCGGACAGCGAGGACGTGGAGCTGCAGGCCAAGATGCTGCTGGTGGCCTGGCAGGACCGCGAGGGGCCTCAGGCCACCATGGAGAGCCTCATCACCGCGCTGAACGCCGCCGGATTCACCGGCATCGCAGACGGCCTGAGCGAAACATAAACGCTAAGCGGCGGCTCAGTCGGTGATGCTGCCCACAAACGTAACCAAACGTCTTCAGTCACGAAAGTTCACTGCAAAAATGGGATCTTGTCAAGTGAAATGATCCTAAATCTGGTCGATAAGTCTAATATCTCCCATTCTGAGATAGTTGTGCAATTATTATGGGATTTTCTAGCTCATTTCTACACATTTTTACTTGTTTTAAGTAATTTTGGGTTTAATTACAATGATCTCACCATACTGGCAGATACTGTTGGTGGTTTCAAACTCATTTCTTAAAACAAGCAAATTTATCTGCCAGTATAGTGAGAGAATTTTACTTAATAAAATGACTTAAAACGGGCAAAAATGTCTAGAAATTAGGTGAATAATCTCAAATGAAACTTACAACAATCTCAACAGGAGAAATATTAGATTTGTCAACAATATTTAAGATTATTTTACATGACAAGACATTTTTTTTTGCAGTGCACAGACAAAATTCGGGTTCCTACATCAGTTTTTAAGCTGTTTCACTGCCAAAAAAATAGTATCTTTTCAATTGAAATGATCCTAAATCTGGTCGATATGGCTAATATTTCCCATTCTGAGATGGTTGTGCACTTATTATGAGATTATCTTATTTCTAGACACTTTGTAAATATTTTAAGTAATTTTATAACAAAATTATCTCACTATACTGGCAGATAATGGTGGTGGTTTCAAGCTAATTTCTTAAAGCAAGCAAAATTATCTGCCAGTATACTGAGATTGTTTTACTCAAAATGACTTAAAACGGGCAGAAATGTCTAGAAATGAGGTGAATAATCTCAAACTAAGCTTAGAACAATCTCAACAGGAGAAATATTAGACTTATTGACTATATTTAACGTAAGTTTACTTGATAATATACCATTTTTTTGCAGTGCACAGACAGAATTCAGGTTCCTACTTCAGTTTTAAGCTGTTTCGTGGTCTTTGGTCCAGTGTTTCTCAGCCCTGGACCTGGAGGCCCGCTGTCCTGGACTTCTTAGTGTTTTCCTTGTTTCAGTACGCCAACACAAACTCAGTGATTCGCTGGATCAGTGTGTTGGAACCAGGACTGAGAACCACTGCTTTAGTCCACATTTCTAGATAACGTTGTCGTACAGAACCAGATTATTACTGACCAACACTCGGTCTGAGCTAGTCTGATGATGTGGCCACCGTGCTAGGCTAGTTTGTGCAGTAAAAGCTTCCACTGCTTGTTAGTTACACACTTAAAAATGATGGTTCTTCAAGGGTTCTTTAGTAAAGAAAATGGTTCTATGTAGGACCATGAACACTCAAGCTTTTCATGAGTAAAAGGGTTCTTTGCATCGTGAAAACATTTTTCAGACTGGTGGAGAATGTGCTGTAGATGGTTCTATATAGAACCCTTTTGAAAAGGGTTCTTCTATTGTTGACATTGTGCACAATAAAAGAACCCTTTTTGGTGTAGCATAGAACCATAACAGGATAGACAAGATGGAACTCCTTCATGATGCAATCTTGTCTATCCCGTTATGGTTCTTTTTGAAGAACTGACATCGTAACTTTTAAGATGCAGTGTTGTCTGTCCTGTTATGGTTCTATGTAGCACCAAAAAGGGTTCTTCTATTATAACAGGCCTAACATCGTGACCACAGAAGGACCCTGTTTGGTGCTGTATAGAACCATCTACAGCACATTCTCCATTAATCTGAAGAACCATTTAATGATGCAAAGAACCCTTTAATCCTGTGTTCATGGTTCAATATAGAACCATTTTCTTTACTAAAGAACCCTTGAGGAACCATCATTTTAAGTGTGTGTTGGCTTCATAGCTCATGGTTGACCGATCGCCTGATTTCGTGGTGAGGCAGGAAACTCTGTAAACTCTGACGACCCGTCGCTTCACTGGAGTCCGTCTAAACGTGCTAATGAGGCTAATAATTACCTGGAGTTTAATTAGCACAGCGCGATTTCATTAAACATCACTCCACACCTGAGTGGACGCAGGTGTGGTCAGTTTGAGTCAGGCTAACCGGTTTAAGCTAACTTGTTTCCAGTCATCGTTAGCTAGCTATGCTAGCATTTCCAGCTGTTTTGCAAAGCGGGGTTTCTCAGTTGGCTGATTAGCTTAAGCTAAACGCCCAGCCTGTTTGAAAGAGGTGCAGATTTTAATGGGTAACTCCTCATTTTTGGCTCAAGTTGTCTGGAAATCCTGCTCTGCTCTGTGAAAAACCCCCCAGTCGTGTTAAAGTTCGGGCGCACATTTCTGCCTTTGCTCGTTTGTTCAATCCAAAACATTTAAGCCGGATCTGTTCACGACTCGCATTACAGACCGAGTGACCTAGAACAACATCGCAGGTTCAGGAACGGCAACAGGCTTTTTGTCCATCATTCAGAAAACTGCTAAAAAGGTGGTTCTTCGAGGGTTCTTTAGTAAAGAAGATGGGTTTATATAGAACCATGAACACAAACAACTGATTAAAGGGTCCTTTGCATCACAACAGGGTCCTTCAGATTGATGGAGAACATGCTGTACATGGTTCTATATGGATCCTTTATGAAAAGGGTTCTTCTGTTATTACAAGCTTATCATCATCACAATAGAAGAACCCCTTTCAAAAAGGTTCTATCTGCAGCATGTTCTCCATCAATCTGAAGAACCCTTGTGTGATGCACAGAACCCTTTGCGAAAGGTTGGTGTTCATAGTTCCATATAGAACCATTTTCTTTACTAAAGAACCCTCTTTAAGAGTAAAATTCCACTATTTCTTTAATGTTTAACGAACAAAAACGCAGACGAGCACCTCGTTGCACCCGTACCGTAACTTTAACCTGTCTTGTAGAATTGTTCAAATCTAGGCTCCGCCCACAAACACGTTCTATCGTAGCGACTGTTGCTAGGTTGGACAAGCTTTGCAGCTTTAGAGAATCCAATTCAACTTGATGAGAGACTTTACCTCAGTTTATTTGTCTGAACACCTATATTTGTTAATTTCGGAGTATTTTTCGTGTATGTAGGCATGTAAAACATCGCACCGTTGGAACAGACCAGGTGTGTTTGCGCTAAGCATGCTGGGAAATTTGTCATTTCCAGCCTTCGTTTTTAATAAGTTTCAATACAGTCCAGCTCGGTAGCGTTTTAACCTGGAAGTTATGTAGTGAATCCTAAATTCAGCAGTTTTAATGAGATTTTTTGCCAGTTTTCTGTAAAGTCTGTCCAACTTAGCAGGGGCTCAGCCTTTGTAGGCGAATCGTAGCTTAATTATCGGCTGCTTTTTTTGGTTCCGTTCCAACTCCGACCACACCTGAGCCAGGTAATCAAGGCTGAGCCTTGATTTGCCGCCACAAGATGGAACAGAACCAAAAAGCCTCGTTTCATAAAAACTCTTGCATTTTTTTTTACGAGATTTGTTTTGTAAGTTCCAGTCTTTCTGATCTTCTGTAGTGTGGATATGTTTGCGAATAAAGATGAGTAGTGTTTTGATTTTGTGTGTTTCTTTTGAATAACACGCACCACAGCTGAACACCAGTGGCATCATTTTATTCCTATTCATCACCAATTATGAAAAGCCAGCAGTCAATAAGTTAACAAAGAAGTTATCAGCTTTTGTTGTTTGTTCTTTGCAGTTGAGGCAGGGTGGTCAGGAACAGATGAACGGTGGCTGAAGCTCAGTGGACAGATGATGAAGTGAGAGGTGGTCTTGTTTAGTTTTCTATATCGTCACATCAAGCACACAAAAACGCACCTCCTTCAGGAGTTTTGAGGCCACTTTATAGACACCCAAACCCAAAAATCTCATACAGTATTCATTTCCAGCTAGTCTGATCTGTGTGCGTCGTCTTTTTTCCCCCCCAAATGAGTGCGAGACCACCCCCTGCCAACACCCACGATCGGGTTCATCCATCCACCACCAGCTCACTAACGACTGCTGAGAGCACATAAGCATGAACGCCTGGTCTTGCGCTTTAAAAAATATACAATGTATATATAAAACGTTTATGAAAACTAGGAAATAACCTTTTTCCAACACTCCTCCCTCAAACCCAAGATCAAGTTCAATGATTGCCTCCAATCCATGGGGTGGGGAGAACCGAAAACAACAGAAAAAAAAAAATAATAATGATTAAACAACCACAACACAGCCCCACCCGACACACCAGTGGCTCTGCGCGGCTGTACGAAGATGACTCTGCAGATAATTAAGGTCAGATTTGAAAGACACCAGGGTTTTTATTGCACATCTATGCAGACAGTGCTTTGAAATGGCATTTATGTACGTGTGGTGGCTTGGTCGTCGTCGTTTGTCGGGCTACCGCCGCTACTGCTTCCCGTCCTCCGGAGCCTCCAGGCGCCGCGGCCCGTACACCAGCACGTAAGCTATATGCCAGTCTCCGCCTCCGGACAGCTTCAGGATGTCCTCCGGGGTCACCACGCTCACTTTATCGTCATCGAACTTCACCCACTCGTCTGCGGAAAGAGATGCGAAGAGAAAGTTCTCAGCCGGGGCGGCGACACAAGGATACGTCATCGTTACAACGTTTATCTGAGCCAATCGGACACTGACCAACACCAGGAGGCCTGAAGAACGACATTTACTACCACTGTAAACAAGTTAAACTGAGGAACGACAAAGACCACCTGAACAACTGTGTAACGTCGTTGAAGATTTCATGACTGACCCAGAGACCTGGTCAAAGTGCTGTGGAGATCAGTGTTTACCCTCATCTAACACTCTGAATTCAGGTCATGAAGGCCTTGCTGATTAGCTGATGAGCTGAGTCAGGTGTGTTTAACGAGGCAGTGAGCTGAAGTCTGCAGTGTTTCGGCCTGTGAGGACTCGAGCCTGACACACGTGATCTAAAATGACTTTGAATTAAATCTTGATTCATTAACTGACACTGAAAGTTAATAAGGTTTTTCCTTTCTCCTGTAAAGTAACAGTTTTTTTGAGATTCAAGATTCAAAAATCATACATATAAACCACCACCAGTCTGGAGTAACGGCTAGGGATCTGATCGGCTGTCGGCCCATTATGACATCTGCTGCTCCTCATCCTCGTCCGTCACCCCAAAATTATCATATTTTCTAAGGATTTTTTCCTGTTGGCTGTTTTTTCCTCCATCACCTCCAGTTCTTGTTTGCCAACACTGTTTAAATGCTTGGTTTCATGTTTTTCCCCCATTTTGCTCCTCTGAGTGGATTAAACAACAGAAATAACAGTTCATACAAATTCAAACTGTCTCGTGTCGTTTATGATACGTGGTAAAATGCAACACAGCCTTAATAAGAAAACAACGAAGAGTTTTTAAGAAAATCTTAAGAAAATACTTAAAATTATCCTTAAAGAATTTGAGAACTTGAGTTTTTTTCCATTTAAGAACATTCTTATGAACTTATGTTTGTCTTCAGAACCTTCAAGTCTTTTCTTAAGAAAGCTTTGTGAATCCGGCCCTGATCTCCATCGTCTGCGTGAGCTGCCCTGTTCTGTATTAAACAGATACTGCAACCCTAAATATAAAACGGGCTGAAAATGGCTATAAATTAAATTTCCCTCCTATTAACCCAACATTTTCCTGAAACAATCCCAATACTGGTCTTCTTTTAAGCCCCATTAGGTAAGGCTGGTCACGCAGCTATGAGCTGCCTGGACGTTGACTGAAGCTCCAGAGAAAGTGTTTTACCTTCTTTCCTCTTGACCCAGGCCACGTAATGTCCAGAGGAGCTGGAGCGGCCCTGATGCGTCAGAACGGCCTGCAGGTCGTAATAACCGCTGTTGTTGGAGCCCAGATCTACACAGCAAGCAGAGAACGTTATCTAGAACTGCTCATAACTCCAAGAAGACAGAAGATGGGCAAAATTCGGTAGCGCTTTATTTGGATGGTCGACTGTAGATGCTCAGAATGTCTTAGTAACATTCAACTAAATATCTATTAAATGCAGCTGAACTTGAAGGTGAGTGTGGGAGATTCTGTCAAATCTGTCCCTAAACCTTAACCTAACCTACACTTAGACCCAATCCTATTTCGCCCCTCGGGACACTTACAAGACGTAGCCCCACCCCTCTGTGTTGCATGTTCACGTCCAGGGGTTCTTGTTGAGATAGAGGGGTAGGGTGAAGTGTTGGGGCTACATGACCCTCCAGACGGAGGTTTTTCAGAGACTCCAAACAGAGAGTTATGAGAAAAAAAGAAAAACCGGCACGATGGAGAACAAGAGACCAAAGAAACCCACAAATGTGAGAATTTTCTGTTAGAAAATTATAATAACCACTGTATTATCTTAGTTTACTGTTACTATTATGGTCGTTTTCTTAACATAAGAAAAAAAAATTGCTAACAGTTTGCTAATGTCTCTGTAGCTAGCTAGCTAAATTTCCCGTTCCACCTTAAACAGTCCAGCAGTTCTGACGCCTAAAGCACCAGAATGTAACTGCTGCTCCATTTAAGGTGGAACGGGGAAATTCGAACAAGAAGCTGGCGAATATCTGACTTCAGCTTCATATCACTGAAGAATTAGGGGTGGGTGATAATAAATAATTGCCCCCCTCTTTGAAGTCATATGATGCCCTGATTGAACTAAAGCCCAGCAGTGAGGAGCTGAACTTTACCCTCCTCTGCTGTCACTGCAGACTGGCAGGGTCGCCTACAGAGCAGCGCTGGTAGCTGTTAATGAAGTGATGCTCTTTTTATTTGAGGGTCCCATTTCAGAGGGAAGATTTCAACCACTACCCTGTAACTCAGTTCTAAGGGGTTAGGGTGACACTCGAAATCAAGGGGAAGGGGTAAAAAGAAGAAATGGGACTGGGAAGTGCTGTTACTGATTTAAGTAATCTGTAAAGCATCTATAGGGGACCATCCAAATAAAGTGCGACCCAAAACGTCGAGATGACCACCACTACTGTTTTTAGCTGTTAGTCACACATTTGTCCATGTTTATAGATAACAGTGAGTCACACAGTGTCAGAAACCACATAATCGAGTCTATCTGAGGCAGACATCTCTACATGATCCGAGAAAAGTAGTGATGATTTAGGCATGATGTTAACTGGCAGGCTATAAGCTTCCATTACTTGTTAGCCACATTAGCCTTGTAGCTTTGGCACACAGGTAAACTTTAGACACCAAATGTCTTGGCTTCAAACTACATTTGAAGTAAGAGGAGAGAAACATAGGAAATTAGGCAAATAAACCTCCATGTTTCTCATATATATATATATATATATTAATTATACAGTCTTAATGCAGCTGTCTGGTGAACGTTTGTCAAATGTAAATGTTTTGTTGATTTTCTAAGTAAATGAAAGCTAATTTTAATGCGGTCAGTAGGGCTGAAGTCTTTATATCCCAGTTTAAAAGTTATTTTCACAACAGCTGCGATTTTCAAATACAACCTGCATTATTAACTACGCTGTCTTAAGTTTTAAAGGTGCAGTGTGTAACATTTAGTGGCATCTAGTGGTGAGTTTGCAGATTGCAACCAGCTGAATCCCCCTCCCTCACCCCTCCCTTTCCAAGCGTGTAGTAGAACCTACACTGGCTGTCAGGTTCCTGCCGTCGCCTGTACGGATTTCGTTTTGCTTCATGTTTTCTCTTATATAA